CCGCCGTCGATACTATCAGCAACCCACAACGCCCACCGAACGTACCTAAATGCCGTTACTGCTCTCAGTATCACTTCCACCGGGACTGCCCCGTCCTAGCTAACCGACAACAGGACCAGGAAAACGGATCAGGGGCCGGATCAAACACCCGGCCATTCAACTAATTGAAACCGCAAACGATGGAGGTCTTCCGACTATAACGCTGACGACCAACAATAAAGAGCTGGCCGCCCTACTCGACACAGGATCGACACATAACTTCATCCGACGCGAGTTTGCCCACAAGATCCAGAAGTACACGGAGGACGCAGCCACATTAGCTGATCCCAGCCACCGTCTACAGATAGTCGGAACCACAACCATCCAGTACCAAGTGGAAGGAGAAAGTTATCAGGGCGTCTTCCTGGTGACACCGTCGCTCGTCGCGCCAGTGATTCTTGGACAAGCTTGGTTACGCCACCAGAAAGCCGTCATCGATTACGAGCGTGGATGTGTACATTGGGGCACGGAAAGCAGACAGACGGTGCACTGGAATCGCGCTACCACCCAACCCACCCGACGGCAAGGGACCCCCATTACCGAGGTCAAGCACGGTTTCCCATCACACCTGAAGGATCAGTGGGCCAAACTCGCGCGAAACTTTGAGACAACGCTCACAGGAGACGCCTCCGCAACCACCACAGCATCCACCACACATAAGATCACCCTGAAGCAAGACACGCCTTTCCGACTACCACCGTATCGTTACTCTCCAGACAAGAAGAGGGCCATCACGGAAGAAGTAGAGACCATGCTGGCCGCGCGAATCATAGAGCCCAGTATATCGGACTACAGCTCACCGGTAGTCATTGTGAAAAAAAAGGACGGCAAACCACGGTTCTGTGTGGACTACCGACGGCTGAACGAAAGCTCAAACCTACCCGTTATCCACGAGACCTTAAGGGACCTGGGGATCGCAAAGATCTTCTCAACCCTGGACCTAAAATCGGGATACTGGCAAGTACCACTGGATGATGCGTCCAAACCTTTAACCGCCTTCACGACACCTGACGGAGCCGCCTATCAATTCGGAGTGATGCCCTTCGGCCTGAAGAATGCGCCAGCAACATTCCAAAAGCTGATGACACAAGAAGTCCTGCCAGGATATCTACACAAATTCGCAATGGTCTACCTAGACGACATCATTGTGTACTCGCAGACCTGGGAAGAACACCTCCATCTAGTGCTAGAGCGATTGCAGCACCACAGGCTACGACTATCGGTAGAGAAATGCCGTTTTGGGGTACAATCCATTCAGTACCTTGGTCACACCATTGAAGCAGACGGCAACAAACCGCTACGGGAGCACGTCGAGGCCATCCGCACCGCCGAAGCGCCTAAAACAAGGAAGCAGCTGCGTAGTTTCCTGGGACTGACTAATTGGATCCGAGACTACGTCCCGCGATGCGCAGAAATGCAAGGCCCTCTCGACGACCTACTACGAAAGAACACGCCGTACCGATGGACCGAAGCAGCCACTCAAGCATTCGTTCAACTGAAAAACGCCATCAGCCAACCCCTTAAGCTGTGCCGTCCGGACTTCAAGTTGCAGTTCATCCTACAAACTGACGCCAGTAGCAAAGGCATCGCAGCCGTACTCTACCAGGAGCCCCGCCCCAACCAGCGCAACATCATAAGTTACGCGAGCGCAAAACTAAACGGAGCACAGAGCAAGTATCATGTGAATGAACAAGAGTGTCTGGCGGTCGTCTGGGCGATCAAGCGATACCAACCATACCTGGAGGATAGAAAGTTTACACTCAAAACGGACAGTCGAGCGCTCCTTTGGTTAGACCGAACGAAGGACGACAAGAGTAAACTTACCAGATGGGCCCTGAGACTGCAAGAATTCTCCTTCGACGTGATACATTGCCCCGGCAAGGAAAACGAACTCCCCGACTACCTGTCGCCTCCTACCACCGCCCTCCGCACCATGCAGACAGGGACGACACAGGGCCACCATTCCTCGCCAACATCGAAGTGGCAGAACTTGCCGACAGCGTGAAGCAAAGCCAGAGAAACAATCCACCCGCTGGCAATTTGATAACTACGTGGAACCTAATCCAGGACAACGGGCCCGCGGACCCCGCCCAAAACCGTTTCTTCCAGAACTACACTTCCCACGACGGATATCTCTACCGCAAATCCAACCACGGAGATCTTCTGGTAGTACCCGTCGACATGAAAGAAGCAGTCCTGCACGCGTACCACGATTCACCAACAGCAGGCCACCCAGGAGCGGAAGAAACAGAACGGGCCATATACTCCCACTACCACTGGCCGAAAATGGAAGAAGACGTTAGGAACTACGTGCGGAACTGTTGGGTATGCACCGTGGCAAAGCGAGGACCCATTCAGGAAGCCACTGTCTGACCACGACAACCCAGTCGTCCGTGGGAGGAGATTTCCGTCGACCTATACACCACCTCACATCTGGGAAATCGGTTCATACTGGTAGTGACGGACCTATACAGCATGTGGGTAGAAGCTTTCCCTCTCCGGCTAACCACCACCGACGCTGTAGTCAATCGGCTGGAGAATGAAGTATTCGGACGATACGGGTTCCCAAGGGCGATAGTTTCCGACAATGGCCCACAATTCATCTCCGTCACCTGGGATGCCGCATTCCGACACTGGGGGTGCTACCATTGGACGACAGCTAGCCCAGTGGAGAGGCGGAACCAGGAAATTAAGAAAGGATTACGCATACACCTCGACGGGGAGGCTTCACAGATGTGGGACAGGAAACTCCCCATCATCCTCTTCACCCCCCGGACGAGAAAAAATGCCGCCACGGGAACGACGCCGAGCAATGCCCTGCTTGGATATGAACTCCCCAGCCCAGGAGAATGGCATGCGACTCAAGCCCCGGCAACTCCCATCGGCCAAGGTGAAGAACGCGAGGAACGGATCCGGACAGTCCACCGCAACCAGCACCGCTACCGATCCAGGTACGCGAACTTCGGACCAACCAGGGTGCAGTTCCAAACAGGGGACGAAGTAATGGAGAGATCCCGAGACCTCGCAACGGGAGAATTTCAGCGAAAATGGAAAGGGCCATATAGAGTAATCGCCAACGCAGGCACAAACTCATATTTCATCCAGCGAGACAGAGAACAGGTGAAGGTCCATATCCATGACCTACGACCAGCCCCCAATCGTAGAGAGGCCGCACGGGAACCGCCACCGCCAGATCGAGGAACACCTCACCCACCACCAAGACCCGCCATCTCGCCCACACCACCACGCCACAAAAGAACATCCCGCCACTACAACATACCGCAACGAATCCAACCAGCACAGGAAGCTAACAGGGCGCAGCCAGCCACGTCCAACCACCAGCCGCCGAATCCTTCGAAGCGGGGGGGAACTGTTACCCTTACTCAGTAGGCGGAGCCTACTATACTGGGGATTAACGGCGGCTACCTATATAAGCACCAACCGACAGCACTAAGATCCATCCATCGATCGAGCGTCTTGCATCAACCCTGGGAGTAGGCAGATTGAGGCCTAGGGCAACTCACCATTTCCGTACCGCTACTCTAAGTAGTTTGATACGCGCCATCGACTATTCTATCTACTTACTCTGTACATACGTTGTTCTTGTCTTTTGACTGTGTATATAGTGTAATATATGTTATTTAAACTGCCACGTTATTCTACCCGGTAACAAATGCAACTGTTCTTCGGGAAATCTCGCAATCCTCCAGATTTTCTCCGGAGTGCCGTGAAGGATCGTCTTCGCCTTCGATGTAGTGGCTGGATGGAGATGTTTTCTCTCGGTTCTTTCTCTTGATTTTCTTAAAAAAGTCGCCTCAATTCGTTGCCCCGCATCTAACAACATTGTACATGTTTTTCGCGCACCTTCGTTTCGAACTGTTGCAGTGTAGTGGTTGTACAAGACAATGATACGACTGCTACAGTGCTACTTACCTACAGCATTGTCGTTTGGTGGCGGAAACTAGCAAGTAACCACAGTCAACAAAGTAAGTAGTTCCTATGACCAATTTGCGAAAGGAGAAGACAATCGAAAACCTCGAACCCGTAGATACAATAAAAACATTAGTTAAACAGACACATGTTGGAATTCGAATAGATATTATTGTAATTATTATTACAAATTCTTTCGTGTGGTTTATCAAAAGTATTACTTTTTATATTCAATGTTTTAATATTCTGAATTCAATTTTTACTCAACAAATTTACCTACTGTTTTTTTGTCATTATAAAAAGGGTGTGATTCAAGGCTAAGCAGTATATGTAAAACATTACGACGCGGCGGCAATGATGATTGATGTATGTATAAAACGTCATTATAGGGAAAAAAGCTTACATATACCTACTCGCAAAATAAAATAAGGATTTGCCTATTATAACATTAGTTAATACTAAGCGATAGAAGTGTACTATTCTAACCGTGTATTGAAGTGACAAAAACGAAATTTTTAAAGAGAGATAAAATTACCACTTAACAATTTGATATCAAGTGTATAACACAATAACATAAGCAAACGTAAACGTTGTTGGTTAAAGATTATTTAGTGAGTACGTATACAATTGCATCGACTAGCAGTTTATTTAAATCGAAAATTTATTGTTAAACAAGAAAAAAGCGACTACTTCAGGTTAGCTCCGTTTCAGTAAACATCCTACAGTGAAACAACACAACAGTTCGGTATGAAAAACGAACAAGATTCTGTGTCAAAATATAAAAATCGAACTTACGGCTCGAGGGTAAATCCACCATTTTGACAGTAATTCGCTTTCATTGGAGTTGCTAAGGGGTTGTTTTCCAAAGCCGGCCAATCCCACTTCGGCAAATAGCACGCGCGAATTCTCATTGGAGTACTAAAACTACCCCTCATTTAGCGCGGTACGAAGTTAGTAGTAACGTAGGTGCGGGAATTTCCCAAATGCACTCTCTCTAATCGAAGTAGCGCGTATGCAGTTTGGGATGTCTGTAAAAGGTCTGGTTCAAACCAGAAGATAACAGAACAACACTATCACGATTTAATGTTGTTATAGTCACTTGCCGTTTGGCTTAGGCATAAGCTAGTCATATTGGGATCAGAGTTAACTGTGCTCCAAAATTTAATTGAATCAGTCACAGATATTAACTATATCAAGCTTCAGCCAATTGTTTGTGATTGAGTTTTAATAAAGAACAGGTGCTGCTGTTGCTTCTTGAATTGTGCTGTGCTTTCACGAATTCAAAACTTTTTCTAATTTAATATGAAGTTTTCACTGAACATCAATTCAGTTAATTCGAACCCAATGGTGAACATTTTATTAAATTTTTTGTCGCGCGTATTCGAGTAACGTGCGGTGCGTTTATCTAACAACATCGCGCGGGATATATAAACTTAAAAACAACTGCCAATTAATGAATAGAATTAACGTTGTCAATTAACAGACAAATTGTTCGCGTGGAACTACGCTCTGTGTACCTACATCGTTAATCGGAAATGATTTTTTAATTAACAATTGTTTTAAACAGCCTCACGTTGGATTTCAAGGGTGTAGGGGCGTTGGGCGCTTCGTCAGCCCACGCATCCGACGAACTTTCCCATCAACAATTTAACATTTTTCCGGCGATATTCAGCCGGCAATTAAACTTTAATACCTGCCCGCAAAAATCTATGATGGACGATTTAAGACCGAACCTCGTCGGTGTCGGCAATTTACTAGGCGTTTCGGGCCTATTAGACGACCATCACGGACATCTAATGAGCGGTAGTACGAACGGTGATAAAGGAACTCCAAGAAAGTGCAATACTAGTGGATCGTCCGCCGAGGACTTTACAGCTTTATATGGTGCTTTACCGCATTCGCACGACCATCATGCTCACACACCGGCACATACGCCGCCGTCCGCAACCAGATCTATTACGGATCATTCAGGTTAGTTTACATTTACATTTCCTTTATGAAATTATGGGTAACGTGTTACCATTGAATAAGATTCATTACTTACCCAGAAAATGATTATAGCACATCATCAGGAGCGCATTTTTTCGTGTTTTGTTTTATAAAGACAAATGGTCTAAGAAACAGAACCATTTACAAGGGATAACCAGAAACCATATTGACATAGGTTACCTCCAGTGGCCTTTATCAACCTTACATGCTACATTTAATCATTTAGCACTTGATTACCACCTACGCAGGATGATGAAAAGTTGGAAGATACCTTGTATACTATCAATAGTTGTATAATTTTAACAAACGAAGTTCAATAGCAATTTATCTTTAGATAGTATTTTTTGCAAATTTAAAAAGAACAGTATCGCAAACTTGCAATGAGAAATGGGCATCAGGGTGAGTTTTTCCGTTATTTAGCATGATTAAATAGGAAAAGAATTTCAGTTTAAGATCTTAATTTAGAAGGTTCTTCTTTGTTTTCGTAATTAATATGCCCATGGATAATAGCAGACGCGTTTTGAATGATGGACACTTGCGCCCAGGCAATTAAGTTTTAATTTTCATTATATTGATGTCACCGTTAATGAAAGGAAGATTGCGACCACAAACGAAGTGGCTTGGATATGAAAGCTTTGGAAAAACACAATTTATTACAGTTGCGTTCGCAGTACGTACTTATAGGTATACAAAATTAAGAAGTTATCGTAATTTTTGAATATTTATTCCGTATATTCCGCTTCCTTCGTCATTTTTTATGTTGATTACTTGACATTTTTCAAGTACCTATACCTAAATGAATATCCTATAGGTTCATTTTAACTGTGTATTTTCCGTATTTAAACATACCGGACACAAGGGTTTGTGTGGGTTTTTTATTTTGCAAAAGAGCATACACAACTGATACCTACCGTGCGTGTTTCCCTAATCGGTCCACATGACTTCTGTATGAGTATGATTGAAACAAATGTGTGTGTCGCAGATATGATTCCCTTATTGCAGGGCGAACATTCTTCCTATTTCACACAGTTTTTATCCCGAATTAGAAATTTTATACCATCGTTGAAGCCTGAAATTGAAATTTCTTCTGATGTCGTCTTAACCCACGTGCAGTACAGTAAATTCGGTTGAGTGGCCTTTACAACGTAGGTCTTCAATAATTCGACATCTCCTGTTTACAAATTTTTGATGCAGGCAGATCCCCGTCATCTTATCTTACACGCTTCTTCGGTTTGGAGACCCATATTTTAGCTTCTGCAGAGACTATGTTTGGTCTGCACTTAAATGTAATAATAAATTTGGTTAGAGGAGTTTTTTGCCTCTTCACTGCCACGTTATGCATGCTCCTTTTTCTCGTTTAACTCCATACCTACGTAAAGCCATTATAAATCGCACATGTTTTTCTTATTGTAGTTGTACGATTTCTGTTTCGTCCATTTTGGGTAGTCCGTACGAGTAATAGAGAACAGAAGGTGGACTAAGAATTTAATAACAACACGTAGTAGATCAGCCGTCACTTATATAGAATATAGACAGCTAATACAACTAATTAGGTATGTACGAAATGTAGATAAATCACATCACTTGAACTTAAGATTCCCCTTCCCCACATAGCAGAACCTTCTTTGAGAGAGCGTTTTCTTTTAAGAGCAGGGATACGAATTAAATTATTGAATCATTTCTGAAATTAGGCAACCAACATTACTAATAGTTCAGCTATTAAATATCAGAGGTCGCAGCATGTTTTAAAATCCAAAGATAGTAAACATAGATATATTAATATATTATATTAAATTATTAATATATCTATAATAGTAAATAAATTGTGCTGCCACATCGTGTCGAATAGGTGGTACTATCTAATTACACAATTGGTTTGTGTATACTCTAAATTAAATTATATGATGGGTTCCATGCCCTTGTGCACATTCCTTTGCTTATTTAAACGAGATAAAAAATATCTGGTTGACATACCTAGATTAAATTACATTTGAAGGTACACCCAAAAAACGATTATGCAGTAATAACCAGAGTTTGTAATTCAACAAATTCAAGGCATGCTTTTTTTTATTCAACTACCTAGCCCTTCTGCCCTTGCATACTTATGCAAGGTGGAAATTTTGTCTTTATAAATAATACTGCAGTCGAAATCGCAAACTCAAAATACAATTTTTGACGTTCATTTGTTAATATACGTTAAGTGATCTTTATTCTTTAATGCTTTGACGTGGTAAATTTAAAAGGTAATAGGTGAATTTGCTTTATTTAGAAAAGATTGTCTGTTTTTGTTCATTTTGTCATACCTACAATTTGTAATCATCATTTTTAGTACTACTTCATACTATGCGATCAAAAAAGAGTTGGCGAGTCACCTTTAGAATTGTTGGTTACCCGGAAAATCATCTTTAACTGGAACTTTCAAAGGCGACTCGATTGTCAATCTTTTTTGATCGCCCGTTATATGACAAGCTGGAGAAATCTTACTCGGGGGTTATCGGGGGCGGTCCTGCCCTCGAAATTGACAGAGCATGCCAAGGGCCGGCGCTACGGGGATGCAGTGAAGTAAAAATTTAACCGTGCCGAAAAAATCGTTACTACGGGTAATTCATATTTTTTACTGAAAATTCACTCCCGCCTCTCATGAATCCAACCCCCGAGCATACCCGGGTAATTTCGAGAGTAAATCTGGACTCTGCGCCCACGAAAACCCCCGAGTAACAATTTCTAAGAGATTTTTTCGGCTTTTCATATACAGGGTGATTCCTATAGTACCTGCCACCGTTTGGGAGCGTATAGGGGGTGCCTAGGGAAGTATTTTGATATAGGACACTTGGGGTCGGAAATCTAAAATAAGGGCGCCAGAACCAAATTTATCTTCTGGAATTTCACGCCTGTATGTAGGCAACCCAACCGACCGACGTTTCGCGCGGAGCGATGCAGAGCGAGTTAGCGCGAGGAAGCGACATGGGAGGGAAGGAGGGAAAACGACAGTCAAAAGCAATAACGTTTACAAGTGTTCAACGTGGCCACCGTTGTTCTCAATGCACTTCCTACATCTAGCCAACTATTATTATACTATTGCCATAGTGTTATTCACTTGATACGCGTCGTTGCAGACGGGATTTCGTGGGTTTAAACAAAATTCTGATCAAGTGTCAGCCACACATCGCCGCCTGAGATCGCTCCGTGTGCACCGCCGGCCGGTTGGGTTGCCTACCTACAGGCGCGAAATTCCAGAAGGTAAATTTGGCTCTGGCACCCTTATTTTAGATTTCCGACCCCAAGTGTCCTATATCAAAATACTCCCCTACGCACCACCTACACGCTCCCAAACGGTGGCAGGTACTATAGGAATCACCCTGTATATTATGTTTATAATTCTTATGCAATAGATAACAAATGCATTTTTGCATCCGTATGATTTTTTAGGAAAGTCGTAGGATTGGCAGCGGTACACAATCGTGTAAAATTTTCAAACTATGTTTTAACAACCTGTCTTCTTTTACGGAGAGTCACCCACGCACCTTCGATATAATTTTACATTGCAATTTGTCAGTGGCGACCTCTATTTCATGAATTGTATGCCGTCCTTAATGTATATGTTACGCACAAATATCGAAAACGCTCATTGAGCGTTATGGCCGAAGCTAAATGACCAAAGACCGAAATGAAATATTTTTACGTATTATGTCCGTTAACTTATGACCACAACAGAAGCGACCACACCGCGAGCTCTTCGTTTGAAGAATGACTATAGTCATGGAATTATTTATTACGGCAACATATCAAAAAAGCATAATGAAAACATCATACATTTTGAAAATATCAACGTCATGTAGACGTTATTTCGGTATAAACACCATAAATAATGGCGGGACATCCTGTATATAAAAATTTTTCAATTTATTAAGTGTAAATTGGGGGATTATCTACGAATAAGCACAGAGATAATTTTATTTGAATTTGAATTTCCGTGTTTGTTGTTCGTTTTAGAATTCTTTGTAATTGTGTAATATGCCTAATGTAGGTAATACACTTGTGGTCGAATTGCGTATTTTATAAGAGGTTTATAATAAGAACCTTTAGTATAAGGTGAAAGTTAATTAATTTTAAAAAAATGCACATCTGCTGTTAACAAGGTCGTAGATGATTGGAATTAGTGCGCATTATTTCGGCGTGCGTGAGAACATTTGGCACGTTCCTGCGAAACTACCGTTATCAAGTCTAAGCGTAAAAACTCCTGGTAATATAGTAATTAATTTAAGACTTTTAATATTTTTAGTGCACTTTTACTTTCAAAAAGTAAGAAGTGCACTGTCTGTATGTCTGTCTGTTTCTCTGAGTCAGAAAGGATCCGAAACTACACCACTTACAGACTTGGAATTGGTGTCATTCGATCAGAAATTAAAAATTATTTCATGTTTGTATTCTCGTTAAGGCATGAAATGTCCATAGCCCTATTAAAATCGAAAAAAACAAATTTGAAAGTGCACTCTTCGCCTCTTGCTGACAAGCGGCTTAACGAATTTTTTTAACTATCGACTGCCTAAGTGCGGGGTAACTTGTCCAAACAAGCTTTGTAAGCGTTTCTTTCTTTCATGAATTTTGATTAATTTTTCATTTCAAGTGTTTCGGAAACCATTCTTGTGATTTTGTCATTGTCAATCAATTAATTGTGTGTTTATTCGAATCCTTTGTGTGCTCCGGATAGAGTTTTCATGTCAGATTTTTCTGTGTAGTTCATCCTTTGTAATTCTCGGAAGTTGATCGAGGATACTGAGTCTCCCAAAACATTAGTTTAGGTTAATATTGAAATTTTTGTTTGTAGCAGATGTACGAGGAGAGATTATAGAAGTTCGAATTTTGATTTGCTTGAGCTAGCTGGGCAGGTGTTTTGTGGGCGGTGTAGTTGACCAATCCTTGCGTTTACTGGATTCAGCGAAAAAGTTAACATTTCTCATTAACTCCTAGGGGAGTTTTTA